ATTGTGGGAAAACGTTTGCGATCAGTACAGTAGTTGTAAATGGTGAATTTTCTCCGAACCCAACGGAGACGACGCCACTGATAATCATCAAGATCTTGATATTCCTTTTGGTCCCACCAGTGTTTGCCTCGGGTTGCGCAGAACTTGGCATCCACCGAGGATTGACAACCATCAATATGGAAGTTCTTATAGTCAGCCACGAATGGTGCTTTAGTCCAATCAGTTTTCTCCAGTCCACCTCTAGTTGCCCAATCATCTGCATTCCATAGGCTTGAATATATCTTCATAGGTTGATTGAAAGGGAATCTGACTCCCAATTTTTTACTATTCTTGAACACCCTAATCGGAACGTCATCAACAAAAAACCTGATGCAGCAATAAAATCAATTATAGGGTATATGTAACAACGTTTCACAAATGTTATCAACGTGTACTTACACTATCTGATGGAGATTCCACAAGACTGAATAAGAGTGAAAAGCTTTGGTAGGATCAAACCATAGATAGATACGTTGTTCCCTGTTACCCTCACCCCCTGTGAATACATTTGTTTGTAGGATGTAAGGCTGCCCTGTCCTGTTCCCTAAGAACTCAAAGTCTATCTCATCATGCTCCGAGTTTTGTGATGACAACTGCAAATTCCAATCCATCCTCCCCATTATATATAGAGAGAGAGAGAGAGAGAGAGAGAGAGAGAGAGAGAGAGAGAGAGAGAGAGAGAGAGAGTTACATAAAAGGCAGTGACAGTGCCAGCAGAATCTCCAGGAACCATTTTTATTTGCATAGTAAAATGGCCAAAGAGGTAGGAACCCTTGGATTGAAAGCCAGTCCCAGTGTAGTTATCAAGTGTGAGTTGGATGTTAGAACCACCGTTGAAGTACTTAATGTGGTCGAATGCCCAGGTGGGCATATAGTTCTTCCCGAAGGGAACTGCTACTGGCTTCTTTGGCGCTGCTCCTGTTGCACCACCAATGAGATATACCAATACAACAACCATCACAAAAACATGTCTCCACACATCTCCCCATCTTTTTTGACCCATTCCTTCTACTTCCTATATGTGTTCCCCTGTAAGAGATAATTAAAGGAAAAAGCTCTCCTTCTTGTCTCGTTTTCTCTTGTTTCTTCTTTAATTTTGGACTACAGCCTCTTATTAAATACTTCCAAGGATTGGCTACTTACCGCAATCAGGCCTCTTTCTAGGGTCAACTCGCACTTCATAACTAATAAAATAAGGATAATTTAATTTTAAAATATCTGTTATAAATTTAATGTGTCAAACTAACTCAACCAAAATAGAACTCGCAGGATGAAGAGTATCATTTAACCAGCATTCCCTCGTGCTGTCCACGTGAATATGCGCTCTTATTTGTTTACGTAATTTGGAATAAAAGATATTGATGGACACATGGCTGGATGGGCACAAGCCAACGCATGTTGTACTTACTATACCTAGCATCATCATGTGATCTTAATTGAAGATTAGTTATCCTGCACAGATTGTAAACATGCAGAGCTTGCTTTGTTTGTTTAAGTAACTTTTTAGCAATAGATTAATAAATCGTGCAACTTTCAGTTATCTACACATGCATACTGTCAAGGATCTGAGACAGTGAGACTCTCATTGGTGATGATATGAAATAACATTTTATATTATCTCATAAAACTTGTCAAACACAGCAAATTGCAAAGAATCTATTTAATATTTTCTCTAATAAAGTATATATATATATATATATATATATATATATATATATATATTATATATATATATATATATATATAATAGCAGTGACGGAGCCAGAATCAAAGTAAGGGTATCCTAATTTTTTTTTTTGGGTAACCTAATTTTTTTTTCCAAGGTACTTGGGTTTCTTCAGTTCGGTTTCGGTTTTAAACCGAAACCTTAATCGAATCATTAGTCAACCTCAAGTCTTGTTATATACACATGAAGTTGAAATATATTTTGATACCACTACAAGAAAAAGGGTAATATTGGCGACAAAAGTTGCCGGTAAAGACTATTACAATTGCCGGTAAAGGTAATAGCGGCGGCACGTCGCCGGTAAAAAGTCGCCGCTACCGTTCCATCGCTATTGATCAAAATGTCGCCGGTAATAACACTTGTCGCCGCTAATAATCTTTGTCGCCGTTAATCTCCTGTCGTGGTAATATCATATTTGGTACCAAATATCGGATTAGGTACCAAATAGTGTAACGACATTATATATAATTAAGTTCATACCAAAATAAACAACCAAAGTTTTATAATTACAACAAACTAGTACCAAAGTGTCACGACAAGTCTAACATACAAAACACAAACTAATTATCCGACGAACCATCACCTCCGTTCCCATCGTTTCCTCCTTGATCTTTCCCCGATTGAAAAAACGTGTAAAGCTCACCCCTACATGCCGGGTCGTTGAGCATTGTCCGAAGATTTTCCAACTACATAATAAATAACAACATATATAAACTTATAAGTTAAATTATCAAACCAAATCAACATGCATTTATTTATGCCAAAGTACATTGCTATTCTTAAACTATGGACAAAAAACCAAAGCAAATTGCTATTTCTTGAAATTAAAACATAAACACAATTACAAACACGATTACCAAATCAACATGCATTTATTGATGCCAAAGTACATTGTTATTTCTAAACCAGGGACAAAAAACCAAAGTACATTGCTATTTCTTGCACTTGGGACAAAAAAACAATTACCAAAGATTTTAGCAAATAATCGCCACAAACCCAAATTACCAAATCAACATATACTTATTGAAATTAAATAATCTTGTTTTTCCTGTGAGGATTGTGTTGACTGTGGTGGTGGCTGCGATGGATGTGCAAACGGCGGGATAGCAGAAGGTTTTCGGTCGATGCATCTGATATGGCCACGTCGTTCACCTAATACTCTCTCGAAAGTAGTTCTTTCTCGAGCGGGTGTTAACTATCTTTCACCGTCTGACCCTTGCGTTTGTTCTAAGAGCTCTTCCACTAATCAATTCTGTGTTTTCCAAAAGTGATTAACAATTAAGTAGAAATAAACACTTAATTATATGATAAAAGTATAATTAAATACTTACATATTGTTATTCTGCCTTGACACTAACAAATACACCATTCCTATCGATATGAGTTTTGCGAAACGTTTCCACTCTCTTTAGGTTATGTTTAACATTAAAAATTAGATTATATTTTAAATAAATAATTACAAATAACATACGTTACCTTCTTATAGCAAGTACTGCTATACGAGCTAGACCCCCCACGGTTCACGATCGTTTACATTTCACGAACTTTTCTGTTCTTTTCTGAAGCAGCTCTGTGTTCAACCGTTTGAAAATACTCAACTACTTTCTTCCAATTATCGACCTCCATATCATGTGGTGGGTTGGCTAATGTTCTCGGGATATCCTCATACCCTCTGACTTCCAAAAAATATTCTTTTGCATTAGCTTTACGGTCTCGATAACCTTTTAACAAAGCGGCTTCAAAACTCTATAACATCATAGCAGCGTCTGGATCCTGGGACATCCCATCCAAACCAAACTTTGTCTACAAAAATAAAAGTTAGCCAAGTGAAAACCAGTCATAATTAACCATATAAAATATTCTTATATAAATAATTTACCCCTAAATGATGTTTTATTGTATCCTTTATCGCAGGGAAAACTTTTTTCCAAGTCCATTTATCAAAAGGAACCATCCGCCACATTATTTTCCAAACTTCGTGTAAAAACATGTCCTTTGGCTCTCCCACAGGATCATATGTCATATCCTATCATAGTCCATGTCAATCGGTTTGCCCTTATTCCGTAAGAGTGTTGTTTCGAGCTTAATGTTTTTCGCTTTTCCTCGGACTCTCCTGTGTGGCACAGCTACAAATATAATTAAAAATTATTAGAAATGGTATTTTATATTAACCGAATAAAAATAGTAAATAAAAATTCATAATAGGACTTACCATCCTGCTCATGATGACCAGCACCTCTACCGCCTGGGAAAGGTTGGTCCTCAGCTCCATCACCCCCATGTCCACGACCCATAACAGTAGCCATGGTGTACAAATACAAGAGCCATATTGACACCATTTCTTACAAAGTTATAAGATATACAGATACAATTTCTATTATAAATACACATAAACTAGGAATCCAAATAAAGTTTCAATTATACATTATACTTTACATGAATAAATGAATTATAGCATCCTACTTTTTATTTTTTTAATTATAGGAATAAATGACATTACAATTTATAGCATCCTACCTTTTTTTAAGTATAACATTGTAGTTTTGAGGCTAGCCTAATTCAGTCATAAAAATTTAAGACATCTTACATACATATATTCTTATTGCACATAAATACACATACATCCATCATACCTACACACATATATACAATATATACAAATACACATATGCATACATTATACACACATAAATTTTTGATTGTATATAAATACACATATACACTATACACATATATCCATCATATATATACACATATATACAATACATACATATACACATATGCATACATTTATACACATATACATAATTGCATACCAAATACACATAAACTTAAACAAAATGCACTTATCAACATATAAACTATTGGATTAAAGAAATTTGCATACCAAATACTGTATGTTTGCATACCATCAAATTTATGCAATAATCGTTAGATTTCTTATCATAACCTTGAATATGACCAAAATAATTCTATAATTATTTTAGCTCATAAAAGTTTGCATACCATCTATTTTAGCTCAAATTCCATCTGTTTGCGTACCAAATACCATCTATTTGCATACTAAAGAGAATCACTAACCTGAAAATGAAATCAGAAGCACATGTGGTGGTGTTTTTGCTGGAAAAATCTACAATGGCGGTGGCCTCGCCCGAGCAGCAGCAACAATGGCTATTTGTGGATTTCTTGATCAATTTTTTTTACAGTGGACACACTTTAGAGGAGAAAAATCGATATGAGGGACGATAAATTACGTACCGTCGGCAGTTTTGTGGTTGCAGGGTCGCCAATAACACACCTAATCGCCGGTAAACGCCTCGAAATCGCCAGTATAAAAACCCCGGTGGTGCTCCTGTCAATCATAGGTGGTAATCTGCTGGTGAACGACCTTAAGCTTTCCAAAGGGTCGAAGTGGAGTCGTAATCGCCAGAGAAGAGAAGTGGGAGTGATAGTGAGAAAGCACAATGTCGACAGATGGATGAAATTGACTTAAGCTATTACCGACGACAGTAATAGCGGCGACATGGAGCAATAGTGGCGACAATCGATGGTAAATGGAGGGAAGTTTTCGCGATTAACATTTTTTAGGGTATTAGTGGTGATGGGGTCGCTGCTATTTCTATCGCCGGTAATAATATTGTATGATGTGCATCATTTAACCGTTGGATTGGAATTAAGATCGACGGCTGTGGTGAAGCCTGGACATTTGACATGGATCGAGGTTTTTTATCAATACCAGTGACGGTATTAGTGGCGACAAAGGCATTACCGGCGACATATTTGAAATGTCGCCAATAATGCCTTTGTTGTTGCTAATACCGTCGTCAGTATTAAGCGCATTTCTTCTAGTGTACTTAAATCGATGTGAGACTCAAAATAGATATCAAATGAAGCATGATGATAACATCTATATCTATCTATATATACTTACAAAAGAGACATTTTTACTTACACCACATGCATTTGAAACCTTCATGACTTTTCAACTTCTTTTTAATAATCTTTATAAATTGGTTAATAATGTTACACTAATATAAAAACTAAATTCTAATCATAAATTAACTAAACTAAAATATTAAAATATCATATTTTATTTCTATTTGTAAAATTATGAGTTTAACATTTTAACATATTATAGTTAACTTATTAGTTTAACTATGTTGTTGTATGTGAGCAATTGTAATTTTAAAGTCACAACTATTATATAATTTATGATTTTATGCAAAAATCATTAAATTATTAATTTCAATATAATGTTAAATGGTTAACTTAATTCAAAATTTCAGTTAAACTTGAAAAAAATCGAAAGACTATTTTATAGATAATTAAAAGTTATAAATTATACTGTTATACCTAAATTATAATATTATATATACTTATAAAAGATGCATTTTTACTTGCACCACATGCATTTGAAACCTTCATGAGTTTTCAACTTCTTTCTAATAATCATTATAATTAGTTAATAATGTTAAATTAATGTAAAAACTAAATTCTAATCATAAATTAACTAAATTTACAACACAAAAATATCATATTTTATTTCTATTTATAAAATTATAAGTTTAACTTTTAAACATATTATAGTTAATTTATTAGTTTAACTATGTTGTCGTATGTAAGCAATTGTCATTCTAAAGTTACAACTATTGTATAATTTATGATTTTATGCAAAAATCGTTAAATTATTAATTTCAATATAATGTTAAATGATTAACTTAAATCAAAATTTCACTTAAACTTGAAAAAAATCGAGAGACTATTTTATAAATAATTAAAAGTTATAAATTATAGTGTTAAACCTAAATTGTAATCCTAAATTTACAAAAAAAAACATTAAACTATTTTTTATAATCATTAAGAAATTTCAAATAAGTAGCTTAAAAATAACTTACAATATGAATAGTTAAAAGTAATATTATATAAAAAAAATTATAATTTTATCTTTAAAAACAAAAACAATGTTTGTTGTTTTAAATAATTACAATCAAAGAAACTAACAATATTCATCAAAAAAAGTTTAAAAAAGTTAAAATTTTGAAACCAAATTAAAATAATTAAGAGTTTCAAAATACGTAATTTTAAATAACTTACAACAACAATAATTAAAAGTAACATTATATACAAAAATTATATTATTACCTATGTTTGATGTATTAAATAATTATAATGATAGAAATTAAATGTTAAGCAAATAAAATTTTCAAAACTAATTAATCATAACAACAACTATAAATATCATTAAACCATATATTATATTTAATTTTATTCATGAGTAACCTACAGATAGAGTCCATTGAGACAATTGAGATTATAGAATTTTAAAAGATGTCTACATTATCATATTATTCAAAATAAACAATGTTTATACAAACTTATTATAAGATGCATTATGTAATAACTAACAATAACGTCATTAATTAATATATTTAAAAAACATATATTTCTAAAGATTTCAAATATATTGTTGTATTCTACGCAACACACAGATATTTGCCTAGTCATATTATACTTATAAATGAGACATTTTTTCTATCACCACAATTATTTGAAACTTCCATGTCCTTTCATATTTCTTTATAATAATGATTCCATAATATCTATTAAAACCTACATAACTTTTCACTAGCATCTAATTACCAACTACCACTCAATAGTTTTTTAACTTATGATACTTAATGGTTCTTATGACACCAATTGATTAACATTGAGATATATATAGTTTACAATTACCAACTACCACTCAATAGTCTTTTAACTTATGATACTTAATGGTTCTTATGACACCAACTGATTAACATTGAGATATATATAGTTTACAATGGTAGATTTTTATTAGAATGCTTTAAAGAGTTGTGTGAGTGGTTGAGAGGTAGATTAGAAACTCTATACAAAAATATTGTTGATGGAGAGTATAAATATTAATAAAGAGGAAGATGATGATGAGAAGGAAATATGAAAGTTTATGGTAAGAACTATTGCTTCATTTTATTCTTTCTTATTATCCAAATTTATACTGTATAATTAGGATATTAGTTGGAATGAAAAATATTATATATGAAGATGCTCTAATCATTTCCTCTAGAGTCACATGAGAAAAAAAGACTACTTCACAACAATACAAAACAAGAATGGATACAACTAGCGTAGAGCATGCTTCTTGATGTTTATTCCATTTTAAATTGTATAACTAGACTTTTATAAAGATTCACTGGGTGTAATTTCTATGATGATGTAATAGAGTGCATGTCGGCGTTTAATTTTATAGGTTTTTATGTTGTGTTGGATGTTCACAATCGCTTACATAGAAATGGTCCTATAGATGAAAATTATGTAGTTGATAAAGCTTATTAAAATTGATTTTGTGATATTCCATAAAAATGGTAAGTTTGAGTTGCTGATATATCATTTCATGCTATTATTTGATAGTAAATGGTTTAATCATTCATGATCTTTTTAAACGATACGTTTATGATTTAACTGTAAGGTAACTAAAAGTGAAATAAGACGTAGCCATTGCAATTTATACCTCTGATTTTATGTTATGCTAATGAAAAACACAATGGCACGAGACTCTTATAAAATACAAATCGTTTAATTTTTTTTATAACTTATGTTTTCTAATAACATCTGAGGGCTAAAACACATTTGAGTTTTATAATTATTATTAGTCTGGTTAGAATCTATTACAAAATATTTTGACATCAATTATAAACATCTTTTATTTATTATTTTAACTTTCCCTTTAATTCGTTGTATTTACGTTATCAATAATTTATATGGTTAATTATTTTTTTCATATGTTATATTAGTCAATCAATTTATTCCGTAAAAAAATTAGAACCCCAATATCGACAATGTGACAACCGTCAATTTTGGTCAAATAAAGTCAATAAAAGTCAACCAGGTCAACTCGAATTGTATTAGAATTTTAGGAGGAATGGGATATTCTCTAATGTTTCTAATGTGTTATTGACAAATTGTAATACAAATTACCTCTCTGGTTGCCAATTATCGAAAATAAGTTAGTAACGTAACACCTCGATAATTCAGTTATATATTATTTGGGTATAAATAATATTCATAACACAATGTAGTGGAGTTCATAAAACCTAATATTACATGGAAAATTCATAACAACGGCTACATATACAAATTTTTGGTGAATTCGTCACCAAATGCGACAAAGTCTATATCCGGCTAAACACTAAATTTTTAGTGAAACGAACTTGGAAATTCAACCTAACTTTCATGTAACGTATTATTATTTGGATAATATTGTTTGTTATAAAAATTGGAACTTTTATAATTCAAAATTAAATATTTTATACATCCTTTATACCATCTTTATTTTATAAAACACCATCATTTTTATAAAAATACCAAGAATTTATAAAGGTCATATAAGGAAACAGAATCAGAGGAGATACAACTAACTGTGAGAGATATACATGGGAACAATATAGACAAAGTAATATACATGTGTGCTAAATATTAGGTGATAAATATGACCGGGTTATATCTTAATATTCCCCCCGCAAGATGGACGATCCTGTGAGAAGACCAATCTTGGATATGAGATAATGAAAGCGTGGTTGTGGAAGAGGTTTGGTTAGAGCATCAGCAAGTTGGTCATCACCTGCTATGTGTTGAAGTCGTAGAGATCCTTGTTGTACCTTTTCTCTTACAAAATGAAAGTCTAGTGCTAGGTGCTTCATTCTTGAGTGAAAAACAGGATTTGCTGAATATGAAGTTGCACTCAGGTTGTCACAATAAATAGTAGGTATAGTAGAAGATGAAATACCAAGTTCACTTAGTAGCGAAATGAGCCATTGAACTTCGGTGGTGGTGGATGCAACGGCGCGGAATTCAGCTTCGGTGGAGCTTCTGGCTAAAGTACTTTGGCGTTTTGAGCTCCATGAAATTAGGTTTGCACCAAGATAAAATATGTACCCGGTAGTGCTTCTGTAGTTATCCTTGTCTCCAGCCCAGTCAGCATCAGTGAATGCATGAAGTGTAAGTGGTGAGTTACGATGAATGATGATACCATGATAAAGTGTACCATGCAAATATCTGATTAATCGTTTCAAAGCTGTCCAATGGATGGATGTTGGAGCCTGCATAAACTGAGATAAACGGTTAACTGCAAAGGAAATATCCGGTCTAGTTAGGGACAGGTATTGTAGGGCACCGACTAAGGTGCGATAATTAGTTGGAGACAAATGTGGTGTTCCCCTATTGATCGTAAGGTGTCAGAACTAATCATTGGTGTGGATACAGGCTTACAATCAGTCATTTTGGCTTTATTAATTATATCAAGAATATATTTTCTTTGAGAGAGTAAGATTCCCCGAGAGTGAAGAAGGACTTCAACACCAAGGAAATAAGAGAAAGATCCAAGATCTTTTAGAGAGAATTTAGAGGCTAGATAAGATATGAAGGTGGATATGTGTTTGGGAGATGAACCAGTGACAATTATGTCATCAACATAGA